CTTCCCCCTCCCTGGAGGTGTTCAAGGCCAAGTTGGATGGAGCCTTGAGTAGCCTGATCTAGTTGAGAGGCGTCCCTGCCCATGGCAGATTGGACTAGATGATCTCTGAGGTCCCTTCCAGCCGATTCTATGGCACACGGATACAAAACCCCATGGAATCACAGCGTCAGTTGAGTTTTGCATTAGAATAAGGATGAATCAGAATGGCACGGAAGGCTTAGCCACTGCACCACTATCTAGTCATACATTGCTCTGGTCTGTGCAAATGGTGCCAATTTAGATTCAAAGTTTCCGTGGAAGAGAGTTGGACCCGGATACAGTGGCCTTAGATTCTCTAAGTGAGCAGAAAGTCCTTTCGTAGATGAAAATGGGAAATCTCAAGCACATCTAAGAGAGGACAGGAAAAAGCAGATCTGGGGTGACTAAAATGCCTTGTGCCAGCAGTCCTGTTTACTCCTTACTAGAACAGCTCTTGCTAAACAGAAGGAAGGATCGCAGAAGTGGATCTGTAGAGCAGCCAGGTGTGGAGTCTGTACGACCCTGTTATCTCTGCGGTCCTCGTTTTCAGCACATTTTCACCCCCAGCCCAGGCAGTCCTCTCACCTATAGGCACAGAGGCTGTGCTGCTTCTGAGCACCTTCCACTCAATTATTTAAAATTCAGTTGCTATGGATCTGCTCAAGGCGATCAGTTTAAAGAAAATGCAGATGGCCTCTGGTTTTGAGTTCCCACTGCGCTTTGGTTAATTTGGTATGTAAAGGTATTAGGTTAATTAAATGCCATGTGTTGCATGGGGACTGACTGCATTTGTGGATTAATAAGCACCCCAGTGCGTTTCTGTGCTGGAAGTCCTCGAGCTGGCAGACGGTTGTGTCACTAAGAAAGGAAGGTAACACAGGGAAGACATGGGGAAATGAAGAGTTTTCATGCAGCTGTTTTTCCAGAATGAAGGGTTGTGGTGTCCTTCAGGTCTCCAACCAAGTATCATCCTTTACTGGAGAGACTGGAAGAGTTTAAGTGAAGTGAAGTTGTTCCATTTCCTTCGAGACTCCTGTAGCACCAATTTGAGGGAACAAGCCTGCTAGCTGGCCAGTGGATCATGGCTAGTGCGTGGAAATTTTTCTGCTGGGAGATCTCTACCAAGAGAAACAGGTCAGAGGGTGTGCTACAAGCTGCAGGGATGGTCATGCTGAAGATCTAAAGAAATCAGGTCGCAAGTCTCTGGCATTCATGGTGGAACACACGTAGAAAAGCAGAGAGAGGGACAAATACCACGGCAAAGTGTTGAAGATGTTGAAGAGGAAGAAAGTCGTTTTCGTGCAGCCATGCCCTGAGGTGGTAGAAGATCAAGAGAAAGACCAGGGCAAATGGACGCTACTCCGTAACGTCAACCAGGCCCTGAAGCCCACGACCATTTTAGCGGTAAGATAGTGGGTCCCAAGGTCTGAGCGCAGCTGGGAGGTTTCAGGCTACTCTGAAATGGGTCTCACTGTTTCATGGGATCTTCATGCTGCTTGTGCCAGCTTCTCTCACCTTCCTCCTGAGTCTTTGCTCCCCATCAAGTGCTGTAGCTCCCCTGTGGTGGCAACCTTCTTGCTCGTTGCGTTTGGAAGCTCCTCCTAAAGATGCTTTTCAGGAATCATGTTGGTCCGTGTGTGCACCCATCGTGGTTGGGTGTTTAGCTGTCACTGCCCATAGCTTGTTAGGTCTCAACGACCTGCCCTGGAGCATTTGGGAGGACATTAGCAACCAGTAGTTTCTTTGGGCAGGAAGAGTTGGATGATGCTGATACTGTAAAGTGACCGGTGGTATTCCCACTTCTCCAAGACTCTGTCGCGTGTGTCAGAAAACAAATGGCATCTGTCCAGCCATGAGGCAGGTTATGCAACTTATAAGCCAGTCCACTTGAGCTGGCAAATGCATGAATCACCTCAATTTGCCCTGAAATCCTCAGCATATCTGCTGCTTTTTGATCCGAAGGTGATTGCTTCAGCGGAAGGAGCGTAACTGACTTCCGTGGGGTTTATATCAAATTGATTAAAGTCAGGGAAGGAAATAGGTCATCGCTCTTAATAAGTGCTGTTATTTTTTAACCCCCTAGACCTTTCTGAGCTTATCAGCTTAGCCCATCCCATAAGGCTTGCTTTCTTTCACCAGTATTAAGAACTGGATTTA